CAAGTCTGTGTATAACGATTTTTAAGTGGTATGTTTTTTTCCTCTTGTAAGGTCAAACTGACTGAATTAATAAGCATAGAATCAGTTTGTTTCCCATTGTAAGTTTATGATGTGTTGTGGGCAAATTCAGCCATTCTAATGCTCTGAACTGTAAACTTGAATCCTTCTGATGTACCCCTCTCTCTACCTGCTAACCTCCTTAACAAGGAAAACAGCACTTCTTTTAATTGGAACATCAGATTTGTTATCAAATTGAAAGTCCTTATAAGCATCAGGCCAACATCTCTATTTCTTAGACAACTGGAGTTGATACCCTAAATGGGAATTTCAAAATCAGTATTAATTCTACATAAGGTATATGAAGATATAGAGGTCAAAGACATTTCTACATGGAATACTAGAAATAGTAAGTATTTTTTTTTAATCAGGAAGGGATTGAATACAGGTATTAGATGCTTATGATAGGAGGAAGTTCTAACCTGCTTTGTCAGGATAAGTTCCCTGAACAACTTAGAACATTCTCAGCTCTTACCTCTGAGATCTCAGTGGAGCCATGTGTTTAAGAATACGTCGGTATGCTTGTGATTTGGAGAAAAGGAAGCTCTAGTAAAGAATCATTACAGTAAATCAATCATCTGGAAAATGAGAAATGAAATAATACACAGAAACCATTGTTTCTGACTTCTCTTACAAGCCAATATAGCAAAACAAGCCCAAATACCAAATGGTACAGGATGCTGGCTTCTACCTCAATTTCATCTTCCATCCACTCACTAGAACCCAGTTAACCTGCAACTTTGTAGGTAGAACTCTAGCTGCAAGGGAGTCTTGGTCTTCATTGAAAATAGGAATAGGGTGAGCCCTACTTCACATCAAAGTCACTTCAAAGATTATTGAAACAGTGTAGTAAGTCGTAAGAATAAATTATGATAATGCAGAGAACTGTCAGGGCTTTTTGATTAAAGGAAAGTCATTTGAGTCTCTTAATTAGCCAATGAATCTCAATGAACATATATGCTGTTCACTTAACAATACAATGGACAAATATTGGTACCTTCAAGCAGGTCTTTGCAAAGAGAAACTGAACTACCCAGTTTTAGTATTTATCAAAGGGAGTGTAATGAATATATTGATTCTGGTAGCTTCTAAGCTCTTTACAAATACTGATATTGTTAGCATTCTTTGATTGTTTTGCTTCATGTATCTTAAAATTCTGTAATTAGCTACATACATTTAGGATAAACCTTATAATTATTTATATGATATATTCTTGAAATCTGCTTTGTGTTTGCATGGTACGTACTTTCCATCCTCCTACTTATGAACTATTGGTGTCTTTTGTTGTTATGGGTCTCATTAACATTATTGAAGCTTGGTATTATGTGTTCTTTGACTTTAAATTGTGCTTAACCATGTATGTAATATATTTTTATATGATTTGTTCGGAGTTTTATTATCAAACCTATTTTTCTCTTTGACTCATTGTTCTGTTTCATCCTTTTAAGAATTTTTTTTATTTTTAAAAGAGGTGATGTACAAAGGGGTTACAGTTATGTAAATCAGGTAATGATTTCTTTTTGGACAATGTTACCCCTTCCTTTGCTCAGAATTTTTACTATCCCATTTTATTCCTCTGGTTTTTAGCTACATTTCCCTTTGACTGCTATAAAGATATACATTCATACCAGTTAATCACGTACTGCATTATACATACTATATCTAGCTTATAAAAGTATATTCCATTTGTTTTCCTATTTATTAGTACTGTTACCTGTAATTACCATTTGTGTCTACATATTCTAAGTCACGATTTAAATTTTAAAAAATTTAAACAATTTCAAATTTTATCTAAGTGATGAAAAAAAGTAAGTTTACCACTTTTGTCGGTCTTTTCTGTTAGATACATGCTTCCTTAGGTATGTCTTTTTAACACTTCTACAGCATGTTTCCTGGCATCCAGGTATCTCAACAGTCACTTATCCTAAAATAACTTTTACTTTTCTTAGGGTTTGAACTACATTAAAATTTCAGTTTGTCAATTTTACCTCAGCACTTGAAGAATACTTAAGACTGTCTTGATTGAATTTTTCTGCTCATTTGTTCATTCTTATGTGTTCTGTTAGGTATATTCTTTTTCCTGGTTACTTTTAAAACTGTGCCTCTCTTTAACATTAATTTGTGATGCATAGGTGTGGTTTCCTGTGTTTATCTTGTTTGCAGTTTGAGTATCTTGGATCTTGATAATTTTTTGTTTCTCCCAATATGTATTTTTTATTCATCTTTTCTCCAGGATTCCATCTATATCTTAGTTGGATCATGTTATTTTTCCCATTCCATTAAGTCAAATTTCTTAATACTTTTACTTCAGTTTGGATAACTTGCCCTCTTTCATTAGTATGCACTATTCTTTATGAGGTTTTCATCTCAGAATACATTGTCTAGCTTTAGAATACTGTTTTAATGCAGTTTCTATTTCCAACATCTTTATTAATTCTAGGTTTTCTCGTGGTTGTATACACACCTATAATTTTTTGTCTGCATGCCTATAATTGGGTATACTGGACTGTTTTGAGGTTTCAAAGTTTTGTGCAGGTTTTGCTTGATCCTGTTTTTAAGGTATGGAGTTTTGTCTCATTTGAAAACAAGGGGTGTCCAACAAGGTCTGGCAGTACTGACTGGCTAGCTTGTTGTATTCTAGAATTATACCTCCAGAATCTCCACTGAGTTACTTGCTGACTTCTTCCAGACCTCACCCTCTAAGTATTGAGCCAGTTTTAAGGAAGTCATCTTTTTAATTTCTAGAGCTTTGAACAAGAGCTTCCTCTTGTTCAGCACCCTGGATAGAAAACTCTAGCAGGAATCCTGAATTGTGATATTTTCACCCACAGACACACTTCACTTCGTATGTGCAAAGTGCTCTCTAATAATGACGTGATTAGAAAGCTCACCTTTTCTTTTAAAAATCAGACCTTAAGTATCAGCTGCTGTGTGAAAACATTGCTTTATAAATTCAATTCCTTAACTCCATCAAGAGGATGTCATCTTAGAGTTAAAATTTTAGGTTTTTCCTAAAATTATCCTAAGTCTACTAATATCTTCCTTGCCTATGTTTTTTTTGCCCTGCTCCTTCACCAAAGTTCTTTAATAACCTAAGTGGAAGATGATCCAAAGTCTATTTAATTCTTTAACATATTCAGGTTAGCTTTGGGCATCAGCTTTTTCCTCTAGGAATAGATAGTTTTTAAAAAACTGTAATGAATTGATGTGATCAAAATGGCATTATGCAACAAGCAGTCCTGTAACCAAGTTAGGTTTTAAAATAACATTCAAATTAAGCCTAATTTTATTTCACTCTGAGTTTCTCAGTATTTCAGAAGTTGAGACTTAAAAACTGAACTTGCTTTAACAGCAGGATTTATTTAGAATTTCTACCATTTGTTATCAGTGAATTCAATTTTTCTTAAAATACATTTCAGGCTTTAAAAAAATGTTACTAAACCTTTATGGCATTGGAACATACATAACAAAAAGTTGTTTTATAAAAAGTAAATTTGAATAAAGTTCAAAGCTACAGCTATCATTAGCCATACTTTTTTTTAGTATCTTTTTTTTTTAATATATATAGATAGTTGCTATGTAGTTCAAGCTATCCTCAGATTCAATCCTGCTGCCTGTCCTCTGAGTGTGGGATTACAAGTATGCACTATATAAGGTTTTATTACTATTAAAATCCTATGGAGATGGTGTATTCTATTCTTTGAGCAAGTATCAAGTAGGACTGTTCGTGCCATTTACCAACTAGATATGGGAGGATAAAGACATTTTCTCAGTGTATGGCATGACTAGACATGGATTTAGTGAGAGTAAAGAAAGATATGGAAGGTGGCTCAGTGGTGAGGCCCTGGGTTCGATTCCTCAGCACCACATAAGCAGAAAAAGCCAGAAGTGGTGCTGTGGCTCAAGTGGTAGAGTGCTAGTCTTGAGCTGAAGAGTTGAGGGATAGCGCCCAGTCCCAGAGTTCAGGCCCCACGACTGGCAAAAAAAAAAAAAAAAGATAATATGGAATTACAGTACATCAATAAACAGTACTATAGTATGTCTGCCCCCCCACCCAAAAAAATGCTTGAATGGTCTATATTGCATACAACAGCTAAGGCTGATTTGGAAGTTTTATCAGAGAAGAAATTATCTACCAGGATTCTTGAAAGCTTTACTTAAGGAAGCTTTATTTTCTCTCACTGCAGTTGTTTTTTAAACAATGTCATAACAAAAAAATACTACTGCTTAAGGTAGAGCAGACTTATGAAATATGGGCACATCAAATCTATCAAAAAACCCAACAAATCTTTCTCTAGAAACGCTATTTGTAATACTGTCACTTTCAATTAAGAAGTGACATCAGTTGGTGCTTGTGGCTCTGTAATCCTAGCTACTGAGGAGGCTGAGATCTGAGGATGCTGTTTGCAGCCTGCTCTTCTGGTTAATTGGAGACGCTTATTATCTCCAATTAACCAGCAAAAAAAAAAAAAAATCTGAAACTTGAACTATGGTTCAAGTGGTAGAGTTCCAGCCTTGAGCAAAAAAGCTTAGGGACAGCAATAAGAAAACATTCAAGCCAAGTGCTGGTGGCTCACACCTGTAATCGTAGCTTACTCAGAAGGCTGATATTTGAGAATTGAGGTTCAAAGCCAGCTTGGGCAAGAACGTCTGAGAGTATTATCTCCAGTCAATTACAAAAAAAAAAAAAAAAATGCAGAAGTGGAACTGTGGCTCAAGTAGTACAGTGTTAGCCTTGAGCAAAAGAAATACAGGGAAAGCACCCAGGCCCCAAGTTCAAACCCTAGAATTGGAAAATAAAAACATTAAACTCATTCAAAGTTCAAAAGTAGACAAGTAGGAAAGTACAGAAACAAGTTCAGTTTAAAAAAAAGTGTACCATTTTGATGGCCAAATATCTTAGTTTCAGTGCTAGAAATAAACTAAATGTCCACACCAAAGACAAGTAGTTCCATCCACAATTTATTGAATTGTAAATCAGATTAGTTCGATGTTATGATAGGTAAGTAGAGAACAAATCTCTGACAAGTATTTTAGGGGGTTCCCGAATGTCAAAGTGTTACCAACATTATTGGAATGTTTACATTATTAGAAGACTATGAAGTACCTGTCAAGGTTTCAACAATAAAAATATTTTTCAAAAGATCATAATATTTGGTAATAAATTAATTTATACAACTGATAATTTCAAAATAAATTAACGCACCTGAGTTGAAAATGCCTCCTGCACCTACCTTACCCCACTATACATATCATACATACCTTATACACCGTTTATTTAGAACAGTCTCAAAACTTTAAGGAACATACAGCCTTTGGGGATGGGGATCTTGCAAGAATTGAGTTTCTGATTAAGCAGTATGTTATGGGACTTGAGAACATACATTTCTAACAAGCTACAGATGAAGCCGATGATTGTGTTCCTTGGCTCAAACTTTGAACAAGAAGGTGACCCAAATATGACTAACTATTTCTGTCCTACTAGGACTATATAGCTTTATAGATTCCAGGGATGATGTTTTGAATCAAATATAAGTAACAAAAACTGTAAGAAAAATAGGTCTTGGAAGAAAAGAATGTTCTAGTCAAATGAAAGCTTGGCAGTGTTTCTATTTGTCCAACAGAGACACCTTTGATACATTATATAAATCATGACACCAAGTTCTGGTAACTTTAAAAATGAAGTTACCATAGCTTGATACTTTCCTCCAATTCATTCAAGTCCAGTAAATTCTAGGCAATCACTGCAAAACCACTATTAAAATTTTTAATGATAGACTGTCCATTTGAGTTACTTGTAAACTTGCTTTAAGCTATCCCATCTCCTCCTCCTCTTTCAACAAACAAATGCTGCTTTTTCTTCTGTCTTACAGCTAAACAGCGAGTAACACCCAATGCCCCTCCCTTCAAAAATCGAACAAAATTATCTCCAACCAAAGGGCCCAATGCAAAAAGGTTGGCTTCTTTAACACATTCATAGGTATATACATCAATTTCCACAGGATTACTCTTACATGTGACTGGCTGGCTTGAATTGTGTCCTAGGTAACACCCTTGTTCCTTCAGAAAAGACAGATTAGGATGAGAACCTATCAATACTACTGCAGCAGAAAGCTTAAAGATTTTCTTCAATCCAGAGACACTTTGAAGAATGCATCTCATGTCCGACTTAAAAGAAAGCACATGGTGCTCAGGAAAGCTGGTATAATCAGATAAAAGGGTTGAGTCTGCAGAATATGACTGAGTACACATCATATGATACACTTTATGATACTCAGGATAAAGCTTTTTGGGAAGCTGTTTGAAGATTAAGCTTGGATCAGTTACTCGTCTGCGAAATACATGGATCACAGGGATATTATTGTTATAAGCACAAAGTACTGCATCAGCTGCAGTGAGCCCAGAACCTACAATTAACACTGGATCCACTTTGCCACGCAGTTTTCCTTTGTTTACAGCCGCTCCAAATTCAGGCATTGAATGAAACACAAAAGGAAAATTTTCCCCTTCAATTTCCAGATGGGCAGGAGAATCCAATGTTCCAGTTGCCAGAGCTACATTCTCAGCAAAGAGACAAAAGGGAACGTGAGAACCATCTGCTATTCGCTGGTAACCTCTAATTTCCCAGTTTCTCTTGATCAATTTTGACTTCTCTATCTGTAAATGCTTCCTTGAAATAGCTTTGTCTTGGTTGTCATTATCGTCTTGATCTCTGTAAAGTCTTGATACGGAGGTTATATAAGTATTCTCTCTGAAATTTTGCTGAAGACCCATGACTTTTACATAATGTTTATAGTAGCGAGCTATTTCTTCTGGCATTACTCGATCACCTTTTAGATTCCTAAAAAAAGGAAAAGAAAAAACATCCTATGTCAAGATAGTACTTTTAGCTTTCATTAGAAGTTTCCATCCAGTTAGCTTTTATGTCTGTCAGGTCTTCTGAACTGCCTTAGCTATTACCCCAACACTTTAGGAAAAAAAAAATTTGTTTTTTTTTACGTTAAAAATGTTAATGAATTACTTTAGTCAACAGGTAAGTCTCATGAGGGCAGAGACTGTATTTAATGCATCCTTAGTGTTTATTGTAAGTTCAAATTAACTACCTGATAAAATGTCATTGATAAATGGATTGAGAAACATGGATGTGAAAAATTAGATTATTTTACATCACAAACTGCATTTTGTAACTACCAACCGCATTACTTAGGATATAGTAGGAAATTACAGGTCAACTGTAATATCTGTGCTTCTCAAAGGTTAAATAGTGGCCTGACATAATTTTTAGTAAGTTATTTTCCTAATGAAAATTACATATAAAATTCTGAGTTACTCATTTTTCTTGATATGTTTCTCTACTTATAAAGAGATCTAACAATGTAATTTTCTGTTTAAGAAAGTACATTGGTGTCTTTTTCATTTTCCACTGAATTTCAAAGTAGTAGTTAGTAATCTCTCTAAACCCATTCTTAAAGATATATTAATAAAAACAAAGTGTGACATAATTCATTATAACTTCCAATTAGAAATTTGTACATGATTATATCATTTAAAATGTATCACTTCTCAATATTTACAGAAAACCCATGTAGTGATAATGATTGTCACTTCTATTTTACAGACTAAAATTGAAAACTAGTTTGTGTTACTTGCCTAAGGCCACAACACAAGAAGTTAGCTAAAAGTCAGTTAACAGAGGTAAGACTCCCTATTAATGTCTAAGAGAATAGTCTTATCATTATGCAAACACAGAAATAAAACTAATAATAATTTCAGATGCATGTTCATGTAATATTTAAAGACACAATATGCAGAATTTAGAAAAATGCTTCTGACACAAAAATAGTAAAACATTCCTCCTTATTCTTTTACAAAGGGAAATATATGCCAAATAGTTTTACTTGCTTATTTATGAAAATGAAGAACTTATTCAACTTGCTTGATTTTTCAACTTTAAATTTCAAAACATATAATTCCTGAAAACTTCATCTCAATTACCCATCGAGATCTATATTTGCGCTCCTGAAATATCCTCAAATGAAGGAAAGCTGGAGATTAAATCCACTAGTGTATAATAAACAAGCACTGTATCACTGAACTACACTTGAAGCCCCAAATGAAGAAACATTTCTTTAGATTAGCATAGTGGCTAGCTAGCAAGAAGTCAAGTAATCAAATTTTGTTTTTGTCCAGCTTTAACTTGCTTCCACTACTAATAAAATTATAATAGATTGTTTATATTGAAAATTCCTATCAATTTTATTATTTGCCATCCTTGAAATGATAGCACTTATATTTCTCCTTTTAAATATTGCTTTCTTTTTCCCCCAAACAAATAAAACCTCCATTATTCCAAGGTGAAATTTCTTCTGTTTTTATTGTCATATTTTTTTTGGGGGGGGGGGGGGGTCCGGTTGTGGGGCCTGAACTCTGGGCCTGGGCGCTGTCCCTCAGCTCTTCGGCTCAAGGCTAGCGCTCTACCACTTGAGCCACAACGCCACTTCCGGCTTTTTTCTTTTTGCTTATGTGGTGCTGAGGAATCGAACCCAGGGCCTCATGCATGCAAGGCAAGCGCTCTACCACTGAGCCACCTTCCCAGCCCAATTGTCATATTTTTAATTGAACATTTAATTTCCACATAGCTAGCCATACCCTAGATTCTAGTTTATTAAATCATTCCAAATTATCAATCAGATAATACACTTTTCACCTTTAAAACACTTCAAATATACACATTATACCCACTCATAAAAATATGTCAAAAATGATAAATGAGTAGATGAGGAATTTAAAGTGATAATAAGACAAATCGATTCATGATTAACAAAGCCAAAGAAAACCAATCTGTAGACAATCTGCTTAGTTTTATAGCATCTCTAAATAGAAATAACCTCTTTATTTTCACAAGGAAATATTTTTACTTGGTATGTATATCTATTTCTTACCCAAAATAGGAATAAAAAATATTGTGAAATTTCCCACAGTCTTGTGTTATACACCGAAGAGTTTTAATAGTTTGATCTTTACCTTCGTTTGCTAGTCACCCAATCTTTAAATTTAAGTCCAGGTAACTCCATCCAATTTCCAAAGCTGATTGTCAACATGGAGCCTTCCATATTCTATAAAACAGTACAGTTAAAAAACATTAATTAAGGGCTAGGAATGTGGCTTAAGTGGTACAGTGCTAGCCTTGAGCAATACAACTTTGGTAGGTGGGGGGAGGACTGGGTGGGGAGTATGGGAAGGGATGGGAAGGGGAAACAAAGAGGAGGCAACAATGCTTGAGAAAAAATGTATTTGTTATCTTGCCCACATAATTGTAACTCCTCTGTACGGTATTCTCACAATAAAAAAAAAAAAAAGCTCAGGAACAGTACCTAGGCCCTGAGTTCAAGCCCCAGCACTGACAAAAAAAAAAACAAACAACAAAAAAATGTAATTAAGCAGCAAAAAGATTTTTTTTTCAAAGACAGACCATCCTATTTATAATATTTATAATAATTACCAAGTATGTTCAAAGTAGTCTTAAATGCTGTATACATAGATTTCCTCAGCAATTTTATTCCACTAATTTTTTATATACCTTGTTCATTTGATATTATCCATCCAAATGTCTTCACTCAAAGTTATTTGTAAAAAAAAATTACAGTATTATCCAGTGCCTATATAAGTTGATAGCTTTGGCTTATGAGCAACATGGTAATTTGGCCTATGATCAATATTAGTATTTTTACTTTTCAAACAAAACATTAAACTTTTTCTATTATACTATTTCTTACAGATTTTTACAACTTAGAACACTTTTCCTCCTTTTATCAATTATAATTCTGAAGTCTAGGCTGAATTCAGCAGCATCTCTGCCTAAGAATATAAAAATAAGCAGTGGTTGCCTGAGAAACAGACTTGCTGTTGAGATTAACTCTTTCTTCACAGAAGTGAGCCCTTCCAGCTCCACTGACCCTACTTTGCCTTTGCTTAATAGAATGCATAGAATGCTAAAGGGGCGCAGTACCTATCCCAATACTTCCCAACCAGTTCTTTAGACATTAATTCCTATTCTCCTAACTCTTACACTAATGCTGTTGGAGCCTGGCATCAGTGACCCATGCCTGATAATCCTAGCTACTCAGGAAGCTGCTATCTGATGATTAACAGTTTGAAGCCATCCTGGACAGAAAAGTCCCCAAGATTCTTTATTTCAATAAGCCAGCAAAAAGCAGCAAGTGGAGGTATGGCTCAACTGGTAGAGTGCCAGAGAGAGAGAGAGATGTGTTTTAAAGAGAAGAAATATAAAGAAAAGAATATAGTAGTTAGAAATAAACATAAATGTAGTACATACCCAAAGAAAATTAGGTTCCAAAGAGGTAATCAAAAAAGTAATGTAATATAAATAAATATAATATAAATAAAGACCAAACGTGTATTTTATTAAGTAGTCTGGTGTAGTGAATCTGAAACTGGCAAAGTAAATCTATAATTTAAGAATAGTATAGATGTGGGGGCTGGGAAGGTGGCTCAATGGTAGAGCACTTGTCTTGCATGCATGAGGCCCTGGGTTCCATTCCTACATAAGCAAAAAGAAAAAAGCCGGAAGTGGCGCTGTGGCTCAAGTGGTAGAGCGCTAGCCTTGAGCTGAAAGCTGAGGGACAGCACCCAGGCCCAAAGTTCAGGCCCCACGACTGGACCCCCCCAAAAAAGAATAGTATAGATGTATAAAAAGGTGTAAATTAATTAAAACTATTAACATTCCTTGTATTTCATTGAATTCCACACTAATCTAACTCTTGGCCATAATAGAAACTTAAGAGTTATAAGATATACAAACTGCTTAGTTCAATGAATTTTCTGTAAAAGAAAATGCTTAAATAGTTGGCTCTGTGTGTGTGTGTGTGTGTGTGTGTGTGTGTTGTGTGTGCGTGCGCGCGTGCACATGCGGATGCGTGTGCATGTGTATGCTGGTCCTACAGCTTGAACTCAGGGCCTGAGGTTTTTTGCTCAAGACTAGCATTCTACTTCCAGCTTTTTGAGTCATTAATTGGAGATAAATCTCTCATGGACTTTCCAGCCAAGACTGGCTTCAAAACAATCTTCAGATCGCATCCTCCTGGGGAGCTAGGATTATAGGCATGAGTCACCAACAACTGGCTAGACATCCCTTTCCCCTTCTCCACTTCTTACCTATTATAAATAATTTATGTAGCCGGGCGCCAGTGGCTAACACCTGTAATCCTAGCTACTCAGGAGGCTGAGATCTGAGGATCTTGGTTCAAAGCCAGCCACCCGGGCAGGAAAAGTCCGTGAGGCTCTTATCTCCAATAAAACCCCCTAGAAAACTGGAAGTGGACTGTGGCTCAAGCAGTAGAGCGTTTGCCTTGAGCTGAAGAGCGCAGGGACAGCACCCAAGCCCAGAGTTCAAGCTCCACGACCAACCAAAAAAAAAAAAAGAAGATAAATAACTTATGTTTAAAGTTGATATTTAAAAAGTTTTAAAAAAACAACAACTAGGTACTGGTAGCTCACACCTGTAATCCTAGCTATTCACTCAGAAATATTGAGTAGTGATCCCTAGATTTCAGGAGGCTAAGGATCTCAGTTCAAAAATTAACCTAGGCAGAAAAGTCTATGAGACCATTATCACTAATTAATCACCAACAACTTGTCTCGAAAACAAAAGCTCAAGGACAGTACCTATCCTGAGCTCAAGCTTTACTACACTGAAAATGAACTATATAATCTGTGGGTGGGGATGGGAGGGAAAACTGGGTGAAGGGGTAACACTGTCCAAAAAATATACTCATTACCTAACTTATATAACTGTAACACCTCTATACATCATCTTTGTAGTAACAATAAAGAAAAACAGAAACAGTAAAAATAAACCAAACAAACCCTATTACGCAAAAAGCCACATATTAACATAAAGCAAATTAAGATTTTAAAGAGGGATCAGGCACATATTTAATCTAGAAATATCTCTTAACACACTGAAACTGATATGTGATAAATGTTAATTTTAGATAAGTAACACTGCACACAACAGTCAACTGATATTTGTACTAAAAATGTGATAATATGCTAAAGTTCCCATGATGTACATTTCTTGACAGCAAACTAAATTATTTAACATTTATTTATTCTATATGTTTTTTATTGTAAAAATACTGTACAGAGGGATTACAGTTTACTTGACATTTATTTTTAAAACGTAAAAACAACCACTACACTGTGACAATGCTTGAAACTATGTTAACTGCTAGGGACACATGTACTATATGAATCTTTTAATTTATTGGTTTTCTTGTTTAACCTTTGTTATAGACTAAACTGTGCCCTTTCTTTTTTTTTTTTTGGTCGGTCCTGGGGCTTGAACTCTGGGCTTGGGCTCTATCCCTCAGCTCTTCAGCTCAAGGTGAACGCTCTACCGCTTGAGCCACAGTGCCACTTCAGGTTTTCTGGTGGTTCATTGGAGGTGTCTCATGGACTTTCCTGTCCAGGCTGGCTTTGAACCGTGATCCTCAGATCTCAGCCTCCTGAGTAGCTAGGATTACAGGCGTGAGCCACAGGCGCCTGACCAGGTTATCCTTTTTGTTAATGCTGCTGAGAATACTATTACATCTTTCTCTTACAATATTTTTTTTCTTTAAAATCTTGAAACTGCGTGGAAATAATGAATACTGGTTTTGAAATATATGATATATAAACTTTAGAGTAAATAAATGTTTTTCAATGATGCAAAAATTTCCTAAAATGCTTTCTATGTCATTCTTATAAAGAATGGCTTATTCAAAAACTGTATCACTAATAAAACTTGGCTTAACAACTACAATTGGCCTACAGCTAATTCAGCAGCAGATAAAAATGTGGTAAACACATATAATAGTACTATTATAATACAAAACTCTAGTCGATTTTATCAAGGAGACATATAGTAATTCATGTACATGTAAAGGCTTAGGGAAATATACTCACATGCCAAGCTCCACCAGGTGGACCTTTACCAAGCACTAAATGAGGGATATAATGATGCTGTTCTAGTTTCCAGTGCAAAACAGATGGGTAATCATATCCAAAGTCAGCATCTGGATGAAGAAGTGTGTCAAAAAGTACCGCAACTGGATTAGATGATCGGCCCTCAAGTCCCTCAGACAAGTATTCTAAGTCCTTCAAGAAAAATAAAAAAGGTAAATAAGAGTTGGAAAACACAGAAACAACTATGGTAACTTTGAAGGATATTATTCTAATCAAGTATTTCCCACACAGTCAATTATAGAACACTGTTTATCTCTGAGAGCTTAATAAACTCGTTTTAATACATGGAATTAATACACAGCCTTATACTGCAAAAGTTGAAGATGGCTTTTGTATATAAATATCAACTATGATGCTTAAATAATAAAAATAAAACCAATTCTTTCCAAACTAAGCATAGAGCACCTATTAAATCTCCACCAGGGGATTATTTGGGAAATTCTGCTCTAAAAAAGTCAAGAAAATAAAATGACACAATCTGAAAAAAAAATTAGGAATTGAAAAAAGTGATAGCTATTTAGAAATTGTTATTTAATGCTTATATAAAAATGATCTTGAAGCTGGGCACCGGTGGCTCACGCCTGTAATCCTAACTACTCAGGAGGATGAGATCTGAGGATCTCGGTTCAAAGCCAGCCCGGGCAGGAAAGTTCATGAGACTCTTATCTCCAGACCCCGCCCCCCTCCTCTAGAAAACCAGAAGTGGAGCTGTGGCTCAAGTGGTAGAGTGATCGCCTTGAGCTGAAGAGCACAGGGACAGCGCCCAAGCCCAGAGTTCAAGCCCCACGACTGACATAAATAAATAAAAATAAAAGAAATAAAAATTATCTTGATTCAGCATAAAAGTTTTAAAAACTGATACATAAATACTACCTGATCAACGATGGAAAGATGTCTTGCTTCTTCTAATTTACTATGTAGGATTGTATTTGGATGTATTGCTTCCGATGATAAATATGGTCTATAGCCAGATAACATATAAGAAAGGCATATTCCTGAGGGTCCATTTCCTTATTTTGAAAAAAGTGAAAAGGGTACATTAATACTTTCATTTGGCTTGTTTTGTATAAGTTTGCTTTCCTAATTTTTTTTCTCTTATAAAAACCAGATATTGATCTTGCCTTTTATTTTCTTTTGGGAATCTCATCAACTCAAGGCTTCAACAACTTTAAACTTGTACACAGTATAACATTATTGAATGATAAAAAGAAATAAGCTATCAAGCCACAGGAAGACAAGGATAAACCATAAAAACACATTAGCAGGTAAAAGAAGTCAATCTCAAAAATCTGTATGATCCTGTAGTGGTAGATCTATGATATTATACATTCAGTAAAATACACACGAATTTATGCACCAAAGTGAATCTCTAATGTAAATGACAGATTTCAGTTAACAATAACATATCAATATTGATGTAATCAACGCAACAATTATCCCACACCAGAAGATGTTACTTTTTATAATAGAGCACAAAGAAAGCAAGGAGAGCAAACATATGAGAACTCTTCTGTATTTTCTGCTCTTTTTTAATAAGCTTAAATGGTTCTAATAAAGAAAAGCTTATGGATTTAAGCCAATCAATCGGTAACCAAATAGAAGGAGTCAGGATTTGAGGCACAGAGCTAAATTCCTTAACACACAAAAAGATTCAACACTTAAAAGATAAAAGAATAAAAAAATAGTTTATGTAAGAAAAATTGTTGCAGGTGGGATGTCCCTTGTCTCTATGCTAAAAGATACCTTATGAGATACCCTAAAGATACCCTGTGCTAAATCCAGACTTTTCAAAGGACTTAAGATGGAAATACAAGATCCCAAGCTGGAGGGTAACCTATCTAAATGGACCACTCTAATCACATGAGTCCTTAAAAATAGAGAAGAAGCTCTCCCAGCTGTGCAGAGGGAAACAAGACTGAAAGAAGGTTAAGAATAAAAAAATGTTACTGACTTAAAAGAAGTAAGAAGTTGGGGCTGGGAAGGTGGCTGCGTGGTAGAGAGCTTGCCTTGCATGCCTGAGGTCCTGGGTTCGATTCCTCAGCACCACATAAGCAAAAAGAAAAAAGCCGGAAGTGGTGCTGTGGCTCAAGTGGTAGAGCACTAGCCTTGAGCTGAAGACCTGAGGGACAGCGCCCAGGCCCAGAGTCAGGCCCCCACGACCGGACCTCCCCCCCCCCCCAAAAAAAAAGTAAGAAGTTGCTGGGCACCAGTGGCCTATAATCCTAGCTACTCAAGGAGGTGGAGATCTGAGGATCACAGTTCAAAGCCAGCCTGGGCTTGAACTTTGTCTCCAATAAACCACCAAAAAACCAGAAGTAGCACTGTGGCTCAAGTGGTAGAGCTCTCACCTTGATTTGAAGAGCTGAGGGACAGGGCCCAGGCCCAGAGTTCAAGCCCAACAAAGAGAGAAAAAGAGAAAGAGAGAGAGAGAGAGAGAGAGAGAGAGAGAGAGAGAGAGAGAGGAAGGAAGGAAGGAAGGAAGGAAGGAAGCAAGGAAGGGAGAAGGGGGAAGGGAGGGAGAGAGAAGGGGGAAGGGAGGGAGGGAGGAGAAAGAAAGGAAGGAGAAAGGAAGAGAGAGAGGAAGAAAGAGAAAGGAAAGGGAAAGAAGGAAAGAAAGAAATTAAGAGCGGGAGAGAGAAATCAGGAGCCAATGTCTATAACCAGCCATAGAATGGAAATGGTTAAAACAAAAACAAAAAAAACAAAACAGGGCTGGGAAGGTGGCTCAGTGGTAGAGTGCTTGCCTGGCATGCATGAGGCCCTAGGTTTGATTCCTCAGCACCACATAAACGGCAGTGGCACTGTGGCTCAAGTGGTAGGGCGCTAGTCTTGAGCTGAAGAGCTGAGGGACAGCGCCCAGGCCCAGAGTCCAAGCCCAAGCCCCACAACCAACGAAAAAAAAAAAAAAAAAAAAAAAAAATTTTTTTTTTTTAAAAGAACTCCCAAAAAGTAAACACAGACTGCTGACACCTTGATTTAAGCCCAGTCAGACCAGTATTGAACTTCTGGTCAACTGGACAAGAGGACACATTTATGTTGTATTATAGCAACTTTGTTTGTGATGATTTTCTATAACAACAGAAAAATACATACACTGAAGAAGTTAATTCTTCACTTATGATTAGACTGGTGGCGCTATTAAGCTGTATTTAGGTCTTATAGAGCAAAATGATTATCAATTGTTTGGGGAGGAATAGGGTAGGTAGGGGCAGATAAAGAGATAGTTTTTCCTTTTCAGAATCCAATTCTTTGACTCAATCTAAGATGGAAAACCAGAGTTAGACAAAAGGGGGAAGATAATATAATATTACGATCCCTGAGATCTACCTTGGATAGAAACTACTGCAAAAACTGTCATCTCTATCACATTTCCAAGGAAGTATAGAAAAACAATCTTGTTCTCTTCCCTCCATCCTTCTTTCCTTCCTAGTATCTCTCATATGCCAATCAGATGATATCACTTTAATTCCCTTCTTATTAATTTTAAGACAAGCTACCAAAGGAATTTAAGATGCTGTATGCCACCAAAGCATTTATGTCCCATTAATTATCTCTTTTGGCTTTATTTCATGCTATATATAGTACTTCCTTGAGTTTGAATCTTACGTGGAATATATACATGGCAAAATCCATGCAATTAGAAAAATCTTCGTAGTTCTGAGCTTATGTGGTTTTGGAGAAATAGTTTTGCCCTGTAACCTGAGTGAGCATCCTGAATGCTGGGATTTATAGGCATGAACCACCATGCCCAGCTTTTTAATATGGAATTAAGTTTTATTTATACAGTAATTTTAACATTGTATTTGTCTGTTGAGATGGTACAGGGAATATATGTTGTTATGGTTATGGTAATTATAAACATTACTACAAAGTATTATAGGGCAACTAACATACATAAGACATTAGATTTAAGTCTTTTTTCTTGTCTGATATGTTTTACCATCATAGGGGATCGGGGGTTAGAAGGTATGATATAATAATATACACAGAATGGGCAGAATTCTAATGACACTGGTTATCTTCATTACCACAATACTGACAGTTTTTTAAAAAAATAATTTAACTAACACATAATAGTTGGTCGGTTGTGGGGCTTGAACTCTGGGCCTAGGCACTGTCCTTCAGCTCTTCAGCTCAAAGTAAGTGCTCTCTCTATCACTTGAGCTACAGCACCACTTCCAGTTCCTGAGCTTCTTTTTGTTCAAGGCTAGCGCTGTACCACCTGAGCCACAGTGCCCCTTGTGGCCTTTTCTGTTTATGTGGTACTGAGGAGTTGAACCCAGGGCTTCATGCACGCTAGCTAGGCAAGCACTCTACCACTAACCCACCAGCCCAGTTGTATACATTTGTGGAGTAAAGTGTGGTCATTTCAATGACACATAAATGTAATGATACTGAAATCAATCCTTTATCTTAAATTTTCAAAATCCTCTTTTCTACCTATTTTGAATAACAGTACTTTTCAATATTTTCCTAGTATACTACCTAACAGTTGGTATGTAAACGAAGGATAGTAATTAAAAAAAAACAAAATTCAATAACTTACCTATAATTACCACAGGCAAAGTCACTGCTGAATCTTCAAGTAATGAAGTTTCTTCAACTAATGGCATCGCTTTTTGCCCCAAATTATCACCAAAATATTGCACTAAGGAATTAAAAATCTCTCCTTCTGTTTCAGTTTCACTATAGTTTCTTTAAAAAATATATATATATAAAAGAGATAGTCAATATGGGCTTTATAAAAATCAATCTCTACTTAAACTTTATTAACATCATAAAATACTCAAGCTTCAAAATTATAGCCTGGCTACAGGCCAACGTTACATATTCTATTTTTTTCCCCTAGTCTTTTTTTTTTTAATTGTGAAAATTCTGTACAGAGGGGTTACAATTACATGGGCAAGACAACGTTACATATTCTAAAGGCCAAAAATTTTAAGTAACTATCTCTCCCTGGTACTTTGCAAGCAAATTCCCTAAAAAGGCCTTTTCAAATGACTCAAGAAAGCAAAATATTGGAAATTTTGTAATCATCTAAGCTCTTATTTTCTTCTGAATTAAAAGTGAACATATGAACCCCAATTAAAGAACTTTTATATCAGTTTCATATTGTACTAAACACATGCAATTGTATTCTGGAACACTGACACATATCATCAAGTCACGTCTTGAAATCTTTACTAAACTCGACATTTTTTGACCTCAGTTTCTTGTGTCCTTAGCCTTCCCTTCTCCCTTGTGCTTAACTCAAGTGTTGGCCAAACTGTGTTAGTAGATCTAGAACATATTCACGGTTAAAACTGTTTCACCTCTACAAACTTCCCCCACAATCTGGGAGTAACACTGTCACTTTCTTCTTCTCCTTCAAAACAAACAAAAAACTCACCAGTACAGAGTGGTTTACCACTGATAAGATCTTAACTAGAGAGCACCCACAGCGGCTGGATCCTGGCCCAGAAGTCCCCCACCTCCCTTCGGCCCAGTGCTTTCTACCCGGAGATGTTCCTTAATACAGAATAGATAAACACATCCCCCAGACCCTTCCCGGGACGCGTTCACTCAAACTTAGTGCTTTCGAGAAGTCCCAGCTCGCCCGTAACCGACCCAGCACGGGCCCAGGAGGTCGCGCGGTCCCGGGACCCGTGTGATCCGCGGAGCAGGGCGCTCCGGAGCGGGCCGGCCGGGGCGGGGAGCCGGGCGAGCGGGAACCGAGCGGGGAGTGGCCGGGGGCGGGGGGCCGGGCGATCGCCTTCCACGCCGGCCCGGCCGCGGGGGTCCCGGGGCGCTGCTGCTTCCCCCAGCCCGCCTCCCCCGCTTCCCCGGCGGCGAAGTCACCTGAAATGACCGGCCAGGGAGCAGCGGCAGCACCACACCGGCATGGAGCGGGGCGCCGAGGGCGCGAGCAGCGCTCGAGCGCGGCCGCCGTCGCCGCTCTCCCCGGCGGGGCTGCCCGGGACGGGCGCCCGCACGCTCGGGGTCGCGGGGTCCGGAAGGCGCCCCCTCCCCGCGCCTCGCCGTGACTGCGGCTCGGTCCCGCCAGCGTCCGCTCCGGGGCAGCGGCTTCCGCTCCTCGCCTGCGGGGAGCCGGGCGCGCAGCCGTGGGTGAACTCGGGGCGCCGCGCAGGGGGGAGGAGCGCGGGGCGGGGACGCGGCGACGGCGCTGGCGGCGGCGCGCGGGCGGAGACGGCCCTCGCAGGTGCCGGGCGGCCGTAACGAGCCTCGCGATTGGTGGATCCCCGCGAGGGGCGGGGCCTGACGCCGCGGAGCTGCGCGGGCCGGGGAAACGGGGAGCATGTGGGGCCCTCCACCCTGCCGCGGCTCTCGCGCTCCGAGCCTGCGTCTGCGGCCTGCGTCCGCGACCTCTGCGTTCCCACAGCTTCCCTCGGAGGACAAACAACTCCTATCCGGATGCGGAGGGTCGGCCCCCGTGGGTGGACGGAACGCCCCGGACCCGCCCCGAGCATCCCGGGGGGAGCGGATGGGAACTCACCTTAGCACTTCTTGCTCAGGTCCGGGCGCTGCAGGCCCCGGACCTCGCATCCCAGGCCCTGGGGCGAAATCGCCCAGCCTCACGTGCCAGGGCTTTGCCCACGGATGTTGCGCTGGTGGAAACGTTGCTTCCTGGAAGCGCTTCTGGAAGCCAGTGGGCCACGCGCTTCCCAGTGCGGGGATTACCTCAGACCTAGCTGGAGGAGGAGGAGGGGAGGGCGGGAGGGCGGGCTGCCCCCCCAGGTGACGGTGATGCAACCCGACCTGGAGCCGCCACCGCCGAAAACCCCTGCCGGGCCGCCCCGGAGTTGCCGACGGGAGGGGCGGATCGCCTTCGGTCGGACCGGGAGCGTTCTGGCTCCCAGCGAAAACCCTGCCTATTTAGGGAGGGGCCGACTGTGTAGACACGTGTTTCGTAAAAACAGTGTTCTTAGAATTGATTCTTAGTGTTATTAAGGTGATGTACAAAGGGCTGAGGGTTACGTGGGTCCGGTAAAGAGGACATGACTTTTTGCACCCCTCCATCCCCACCTGTAACCAGAGTGCTGAAAAGAAGTTCCCTGAAGTGTCGCTGAGTGTTGCCACCAAGCAGACTTCCAGCCTGTCGGTGCTTTGGATCGCGTGGCACTCGGAGCCGTTGGGCCCAGCCACTCTAAGAGTTACTTTTTAAACTGTTTTTTCGCCCTGCGCTGCTGGTTTATGCCTATAATCCTAGCTACTGTGAGAATCGTAGTCTAAGCCAGCCCCGAGGAGAAAATGGCCTCTGAGATTAGTGCCCGATTAACCACTCAAAACCCAGAAGTGGCTGCTGTGGCTCAAGCCCTACACAAGTACCCTTGAGCACAAAAGAGGCTCAAGGACAGGGCCCAGGCCTCGAGTTCAATCCCATCCCCGCCCAATTCCATCAGAGTGCTAGTGGCTCACTCCTGTAATCCTCAGCAGGCTGAGATTGCCCTTTGGTCAGGAAAGGCCCAAGTGTCTCTTATCCAATTAATCGCCCAAAAGCCGGAAGTGGAACTGTGACTCAAGTGGTAGAGCACCAGCCACAAGTAGAAAAAGCTAAAGGACAATGCCCTGACTTCTTTCCACTTTCCACCTACAGACACACACACACACACACACACACACACACACACACTTTTCTTTGAACTACTGACAATCTAATATGTTCATTTTACTTTAATGTTGGTTCTGAGAATGAAAGTGTTCTCATCCTTTAATACTCAAAGGACCTTGAATTCCTGATAACTATCACCAGAAGTTTTTATTTTTCCCCTAGAACTTTGTTTTCATTTTGAACTTTATCTCATGATTTTATTTTTATTTTTGCCAGTCCTGGGGCTTGAACTCAGGGGCTGGGCACTGTCTCTGAGCTTCTTTTGCTCAAGGCTAGCACTCTACCACTTGAGCCACAACTCCACTTCTGGCTTTTTCTGTTTATGTGGTACTGAGGAATCCAACCCAGGGCTTCATGCGTGTTAGGCAAGTGTGTACCACTGAGACACCTTCCCAGCCATATCTCATGATTTTAAAGAACAAAACAGGCACATCAAATTTTAGGTTTTAATGTGGCCTATAATTAACACTCAATTTGTTGTCTTGGTTTACATTTGATAATGGTTTATAAAGACGAGGCCACAAAGATTATATAAAAGACATTTTTTATGGCCAACAGGGCATACTAGAATATTCATATTTTTACTTTTAAGTTTAAGTGGAATTTATTTAAACGTAAAACTCAGTGTTAGAGAAATGTGGATTATAGTGTAAATTGGTATGTAATCCCAAACACTATCCCTTGCATTTAGGAACTCATTCCTCCTTTTCAGTGCCCACAGCAATTTGTGTTTAGTATGGAGTATATCTCACAGTTTATGACTTTCAGTGTTACTAGGTTTTAGAAGTCTTACCTAATGCTGTTCTTTGTCTTTTTTAATTTTATTGTAAAGGTAATGTACAGAGGGGGTTACAGCTACATAAGTCATGAGTACATTTCCTTTTGAACAGTGTCATTCCTCCCAATTCTCTCCCAGTTTTCCCCCCTCCTGACTTTCCTTTCCTCCTCCCAAGTTGTATAGTTTATTTCCGACATGGTATCTAGTAGATTTCACTGCTGAATTGATTAGCCCTTTGTCCCACAGTGCTTCTCCCTCCCCTTCCCAAATCAGATAAACTAATATACAAGGTAAAATGTACAGAAATTAAAAACAGAGACAAAAGGGAATAAACCAAAGAAACAAGAAAACAACAAAAAACTACCAATAGTAAAAAAAAAAAAGTCTTGCTTTCATTTCTTGGAGTTCATTTTGATAAGCATCATTTTATGTGATGCATATACACATATATATATAATACGCACATGCTATTGAGCCCTTGCGATCCTCTCCTAACAATATTCTCACTTTTTCTCACTGTGTAACGAGATTGCTATTTAATGCAGTTCTTACTGGTAAATAGTCTAGTACTGTTTTGCACATTATAGCATACTAGCCAAGATGATTGATTGTCCTCAATCTCCAATGTAATCTTGGGAAAGTTATTTAGCACCTGAAAATATTTCTTCCTTATTTCTAAAATGAGGATAATAAAATTTCATTGACAAAAACAAAATATAATTCCTGGCTCAGATTAGTTGCCAGCTAATTGATATTTTTCATTTTTATCAATAAAAAGTATTTCAACTTTTCATATAATACAATTCTGGAAAGTACATGCTATGGATTCATTGTTGTGTTTATATACTGACACACTGATTTTGCCCAGTGTGGTTATATTTGAAGAAAAGGCAGTTAGGTAATTATTTGGAAATAAGAAGTTAGGTAATTACTCATGCCTTGGAAGAGGAGAAAGGGATGCTGGTGCTAACTCCTTAGTGAGCATATATCATAAATTGACTAACTGGAAAGAGCCCTCACCAGGCAGGAATCAAATTGACACTTTCCTCTCCGGCTTCCCCAGCCTCCACAACTGTGAAGAGACAAGGTACTTAACTGTATTTTTTATGTTTCAAGCTACCTAACTATAATATTTTGTCATAGCAACTGAGCTGACCAATACAATCATTTTGCATACAGCTTTTGCATTTTCTAGAATCACCAAAAAGTATATTCAAAATAAACTGGTGCATTTCATAAACTGTAGATATCTGTCAAGAAAAGGGAATAATTTTATAAGTACTGTATCAGAGAGTTTGAGAAAATATTCTTGAAGAAGTTACCCTTTTACTAGTTTGCCACTCTGAGAAGCTTACTTTTCACATTTGTTAGCCTTGGACCCCTTGATAGTTTCTTTTTTTTTTTTCTTTGTGCTTATGTGGTGCTGAGGAATCGAACCCAGGGCCTCATGCATGCAAGGCAAGCGCTCTACCACTGAGCCACCTTCCCAGCCCCCCCTTGATAGTTTCTAATACAATAAACACCTTTGTTTAGAATCAGCTTGAAGGTCTCATAAGTCCAGTTCTCTGCCTAGATAGCAAATAGTAGTGATGCTTTGAAAACAGAAAAGACATCATATTATCAGGAGCTGTATTGCATACTTAAGATTTCCTTCTGCAAAGTAAGCTCAGGGGACTAAACAATTATATATATTTATAAATACATATTTATATTTATATAAACACACGTATGTATTATATCAAGATGGCTTCCCACTGAAAAGTGTATTTTTGTGTTATAGAACACTCAGTTGCAGAGGATAAAATACATAGAATTCACTCTAATTTATTGATAAAAAGAATTTTGCAGGCTGGGAATGTGGCTTAGTGGTAGTAGAATGCTTGCCTAGCATGTATAAAGCCATAGGTTCAATTCCCCAGTACCACATACACAGAAAAAGCCAGAACTGGCACTGTGGCTCAAGTGGTAGAGTGTTAGCCTTGAGCAAAAGCAGCTCAGGGACAACGTCCAAGCTCTGAGTTTAAGCCCCAGGAGAGGCAAAAAAAAAAATTTGTAAAGGATGTTACATATTTTGAACAATGAGAATATATATATGTGTGTATGAATATGTGTGTAGATATGTATTAAAATACACATATCTACACACATATCTAATATGGGTATAGATAGAGATATATGTACATACATGTAGGACTCAAAAAGTTCTGAAAATCACACTGCAAGAAGTAACCAAAGGAACTTCTTATCTGTGAATGAAAAACTGCCTGGAAAATTAGGAAACTAAAGCTATAGCTTCTGAGAAGAGCTCTACCTGACATGGAATGTTTTAATGTCTTTTCTTCTGTTTCCTTCTACCAGTCCAAAGGGTCACAATTTTGTGTCTTTGTTCACCATTGAAAACTCAATACCTAGAACAGATCTTGGAAGGAACAGATATGGAAAAGATCACAGAGACAGATAAAACTCACCAGTAAACAAAGCAGTGCTAATGCTGCATAATCCTTAAAATCAGTGAAAGGATAAAAAGGAGTAATGAGAGATTCTTTGTCTCATTTCTTC